ATTTTTGTGCGCAATGCACAAACACTCCACAGGAATCCAGTCTGGAAAAAGTCTTGCCAGGATGTTGATATGGGGTTGTTACGGTGGTTTTCGATGGGTTGCTATGCAGTTGCTAGGGTATTCTGGGTGGTTGGTTGCTTACTGGCTGGAGTTGTTTTGTTGTATTGTTCACCAAGTAAAAATCATATGTCCGATGGCTTAGAAAAGTCAAAGCAATTCTAAATTATTTTACTGCTCAGAAATGAGGTATAATGGAACAGTGCATCACCTCCTCAAGTGTGCTGCCATCTACTGGTTTCATGGAGATCCTGCATTCATCTAAATCCCCTCCCAATGTCTCTTTGCCATAAATCTAAATCGGTTGAATGCTTTTAATTAGAGTAGGAGTGGAAGCCAATTAACGTTTGTGTGTAGTGCATGTGTTTGCTTCTTTTTATTAAGTGCAGACACATGATAACACTTATGAAATTACCTCTTTGGATAGTCCCATATGCACAAACAAAAAATTAGCAGGTCAGATGTCAAAAGATGTTTTTCATTGTTTTATTACTTTGTTTGACACGACAACCCTGCACACAGGGAGAAATATTGGATCAGGCCACACAATGCATAAACAGATGTTGAGAAAAAACAAGAACCAGGTCAAGAATAAAATCATTTTAAAAAGATATCTGTTGTTACAAAATATAATTGAACTAGATTTTTTAGACTTTAGAAATATTGCCTGGATTAAAGAGGTTTAACAATAAACCCAGCCTCCCTTAAAGGGATAGTTCACCCCAAAATGAAAATTCTCATTACTCACCCTCATGTTGTTCCAAATCCATAAGACCTTTGTTCATCTTTGGAACACAAATTAGTATATTTTTGATGAAATCTGAGAGATTTCTGACCCTGCATTGACAGCAACACAACTGACACATTCAAGGCCCAGTAAGGTAGTAAGGACATCGTAATTTTAAGAAGCTACAAGAATACTTTTTGTGCACAAAGAAAACAACATTTTCTCTTCTGTGTCAGTCTTCGAAACGCATTCACGAGAGTACCACGCATGTGGCACTGCTGATGCAGGAGCCGGCGTTCTGACGTAGAACCCAGATGCTCTGCACCTTGTTTACAAGCAGAGGAATGCACACACACACGTTGTAAGGAACGTGCATCAAAAGCCCTATTCGCACAGGATTAGTATTACCTGGTGACCTCCAGTCATTTGTAATAATTGCGGAGGTTGTCTGTGATCTTAATCCCGTGCGAATAGGGCTAAAGACTGACACAGAAGAGAAGGAATTGTTGAATAAAGTCTTTATTTTTGCTTTCTTTGCACACAAAACGTATTCTTGTAGCTTCATAAAATTAAGGTTGAATCACAGATGTCACATGGACTATTTTGACTATGTCTTTACTACCTTTCTGGGCCTTGTACGTGGTAGTTGCGTTGCTGTCTATGCAAGGACAGAAAGCTCTCAGATGTCTTTAAAATTATCTTAATTTGTGTTCTGAAGATGAACAAAGTTCTTACGGGTTTGGAACAACATGAGGGTGAGTAAATAATGACAGAATTTTCATTTTTGGGTGAACTATCCCTTTAAATTCCTTCATTGTTTAACTCTTTGTGCTGTGCTGAAACTCCTTTACCTAATAATAAATTATGCAATATTATCACCAAATTTTGGATTCAATCTTTTTGTCAGCTTGTTTTTCTTCAGTTACCACAGGTTTTCTTTTTCTTTTTGGAACTGATTGATTGCAGGCCTCATTTATTTGAGCCGATACACCTCAGCTTTTTAGTACAAAAAATTTACAAATATTTTTTTTGTGATAATTTTACCAGCGTTCAGTCAAAAATGAGGTGCAGGTGCTCGATCAAAGAGGCCTATGAACAATCAGTTCCAAAAAGAAAAAAACAAAACCGTGCTAATTGAAAGAAAGCAAGTTGACAAAGAAATTATATATTATAATAGGTATATCACTATGGTGGTTTTACAAGCAATTTTTTGGCCATTTTTGACCAGGAACACTACAAGGTGGGAAAGAAATCCTAAAGTATAAAAGTATCCATATTTGTCATACATTGTGTGAGCAAAGTAAGTAAGTTAACGCATTTTCAGGAAAAAGAAAACCCTCGTTGGTTCAAAATGACTGGAACATGACATGAGAGTAAATTCTAAAAATATTGTTATAAAAATATTCTATAGAGATGTAAAAGTATTTGCAAGCCCTATTTTGAAGAGGTTAAGTCACAATCTACGTTTCCACATCTTCCTCACTGCCAGAGCTCGCGTTGTCTTGACCTGTTAGTGGGTGGAGTTGATGAGTAGTATGAACAGGTAAAGGCGTGCGTCAGTGCGCTCTCATCTACCATCTACTCACTATCGGACCCCTCAAAACATTTTGCAACACAGCTGTTGTTGACTTAACACGAAATACTAGCCTGCATAATGCTGAAGAAAACGCAAGGCTCGGCCGACGTGGACGCGTCGCGCATTCTTGTGAAGGGGCCCGAGTTTTTGAGGAGACAGATGGAGCGAGAAAGCGAGGCGAATAAAGGACGCGTCAGTGCGGTGGAGAGGTTGGCAGCCACTAAACCTCAATATGTAAAAAGCCAACAAGTGGTCGGTTCCACTCAGGAACTGGTTATCAGCATTGGGTCTGCCTCAGTGAGCAGCCAAGGGTCTTTAAACGGACACGGATCCGTTAATAACACCGCTAATGTTGATGTTGAGGATACACAGTCACCTGAAGAAGATAGTAATGTGGTGAGACGGAGCAGCTCGAAGAAACGAGACTCGATTTTACTATACAGACAAAAGTGTGAACTCTTCAGAGGATCGCCTGGCAGGAGTATGAGACTGATTAAAAAGTCGCTATTCGCTATTAAAGACAAGACAAACGCGTTTTCGGAGGCGCGCGGTGGTGAATGCGCCACACGTAAAGCCACTCGGGTAACTTTACCCATCTCAAACGGGCACTCAGGTGAGACAAACGGTGAGCCGAAAGGACCTCCTCACAGGAAAGTCACTGAAACCCAGGAGCAGGAGCGCAGGAGCCGCAGGGGGGTGGCGCGCTCCAGCTCTGACATCAGCTCGCGCTACTCAAAAAACTTCGCGGACTTCGACGCGTTCTTCAAATACTGCGGGCTCGAGGGTGACGTCATCGAGTACCTGGGCAGAGAGAACTTCTCCGCGCGCTCAGAAGACCTCAGCTCCAAAATCCGGAGCATCAGTGTCTCGACTTCTGATGACGGGTTCTCGAGGAGCAGCGACGGCCTGCAGGAGGAGGAGCTGCAAGAGACTGTGCGTCAGGGGTCGTCGGTGGTCGAGCGCAACGCCCGGATCATCAAGTGGCTTTACAGTTGCAGAAATGCGGCGGAGTCGGGAAAGACTCTTCGAGATCTGGATTAAAGGGGTCATATGATGCGATTTCAAGTTTTCCTTTCTCTTTGGAGTGTTACAAGCTCTTGGTGCATAAAGAAGATCT